CATTTSTTCTGCCCTTGGCTAGACAAGTCAACCCCTTCTCGTCTCAGTAAAGTCCTCCTGCTGCTTACCCTGGGAGCTTATCTTTCCACAGCTATTCAAGTTTGATTTCTTTTTAATATGGAAAAGCAGACTTGCAGGCACCATTTTAGGTAAGATCTCACGGGTGGTTGTGCAAGACCCTTTCTTGACGTGCTCTCAACRTTAAATGCAATGTTTTGGTGTTTCTGTTGTGATGGTGGCAGGCAACCAACCCACGGCCAGTTTATGACCCCAGAACTTCCTCCYTTTCCCTTATTAACAGTTGGTGAGATCATGAATTTAGCCTTTGGCATGRTATTGGCTGTCTGCTTGATTTCACTCCACTTGTTTCTCAAGTCCTTAACCTCTTGTATGACTTTGTCCTCCTGTTTTTGGTTTTGACACTTTAACACTGTGTCATCAGCTTATTTCATTAGTGCTCTCCTACTTGTGCCAGAGTGCAGATGAAAATACTAAACGAAATCAACCCCAATGTTAACCTTTAGAAAACCTCCCTCCAAGGGAAAACTCTTCCTCAACCCTATGAGTGATCCAATTCTGAGACCTTGAAATCCCCAAAGTGGCATCCTCAGTGACCTGTGAAAAATTTGCAGATGAAAAACAATCTCTAATGGCATGCCAAGGTGATTAGAGGAGACCAGTAACTCATTGAGGGGTTTTGGCAAGATGAAGGCAATGAGCTTTCTTCAGAAAAAAACCCACATCAAGTTGCTGTTCGCAAAAAGGATCAAGGTGTGCTGCTGCCATGGGATTTTTTTTTCTCCCCCCAAAAAAAGCTTGGCCAGGAAGTCCACAGTATTCTCCTTGGCTAACCTGAGCTCCTGGATGTCTTTTTTTTGACCACCTGGGAAGACACTGATCAGTTCTGGCTTTGCTGTGTGACTACAAACCCCAGGCTAGATATGACAAAGCTAAGCAAGGCCCCCAAAAGGAGCTCTGCTGATGCAAATAATGATCCTGCTGACTTGAAGAGATGGAACAAGAGTAAAGGATTTCACCCAGATAAAAGACGCATGGACCACCAGTCTTCGGAGCCCTGTATTGACACTGCTCAAATGKGGCAACAACACCTGAAAGCTTTTCCCAGGAGGTCTGATTTGCTGGAGAGGATCACCTTGGGTTCCTTAGGAAGTCTAACAAAGTACAAGCTCTTTAGTTGCACCAGTGTCTTTTCATTTYCCTGCAGAATTTCAGTGCCAGCACATACTTGTCTGTGATGTAATTTTTTTTCCATTAATAAATCCGCAGACCCTGCTGGATGCCTCTGCTGTCATGTTTGCAAAATATTGCAACGCTAATGGAGCTCTGCTCATCTCGTGTATCCTGACAATCCGAAACATTGGCCTCCTCAGTGTAGATTTTCCAAGGTCTTTAAAGCGTTCCATTCTCCTTGGACTAACAGGCATCTTGTTAAAGCTGTCAGGCTTCRTTTCTGGTTTGGCAGATGCCGTGAYCTTCAAGTGRAGTGTAGAGGTGCCCTTGGRTTTGTTTTTAACACCCTCATCCAGCCACTGGATTCCCCTATCCCAAGGCTTGCCTCTAATAGAGATGTAATCATATTCTCCCACACAGAACATAAAAACATCCATTTTATTATGTAAAAGGGGTTTGTCGATTACACCACCACCAGTTTTAACAGCCGATCACTCGTTCTGATTCAGAACAGTGTGGTTTTCTGAGATGGGTTGGTTTAAGAGCAGCACAGAGGGAAAATCATATCTTTTAGGGTGTGCTCTGTACAAAGCAGCCTCCCTGCACATGGGATACTGGAGAATGAGGGGTGTATTATGCACTTAAAATAGAGCCCTTTAAAACTGGCATGGGATGCTCTGTTGTCTGACCATCATTCATCACAGTCATGGACTTTCAGACAAAACGAGCCTCGCCTTCGTGTTGCTTGTTAAAATAAGGAATGTATGCTCAGTGTTTCATTTTCACTCACTGCACTCCACAGTGCAGCCAAAACCAACGTGGTTTGAATCATTATTTCACATTTATCTGGACAAATTCTCCATGTATAGTATTTTTAAAACAAGATGGGTTATTTTGTCTATATTCAGTGAAAAAAAATTACTACGCACGTCTGGAATGCAAGAAAAAAGGATTTCTTACACTGCAGAGTGCATTCAGACTGTGATGTGAAATCTGACTGCAGTCAACCTCTAGCGCGTTCTCTTCCAATTTCTCTGCTTTAGTCTTTTAATTCTTCCTTCCCTCCTCCATCTTTCTTTCCCTCTTCCCCCATATTTCTCTTTCTCTATTTCTTCCCCCTTCTTCCTTTCTTCCCTCCCTTCCATTTATTTTTTTCTCCCCTTTTCCCTTCCCTTTCTCATATTTCCCCTGGATTTCTTTTTTCTTCTGTTTCTTCCCTCTCCCTTTCCCCCATCCATTTCTTTCCTCCTTCCCCTGCATTTCTCTTCCCCTCTCTTCCCTCTTCCCCCCACCCTGGATTTCTGTTTTCCCTCTATTTTTTCCTCCCCTTCCCATCTCCCATTCCTTTGTCCCCTCAATAGTCTGTTCTTGAATGAAAAACCTGCCTAGCCCAGGGCTCTGCAAGGCTTTCAGCCATGCAGGCAAAAGGCACTGATGGAAATCCTACTGCACCCCTGAATGGGAAAATTCCTTGCATGGATACGGTGATGCAGCTGCACAGGTGGCTGAAATCCCTGGGTAACAGGGACCTAAAAATAAGGCACTGCCCCGCCTCTTTAGCCAGAGTTCCTCAAAGGGCAGGGGCAAATGCAAGGATAAGGGATCAGGGAATGTGTTATGCAAAGCCTGAAAGGGTGATAGTGCTAAGCCAGAGCTTGGGGAGGTGAAGAAGGGAAGCCTGAGGGATATCCAGGAAAACCAGACTCAGCAATGCTTTGCCTCCAGGATGAGAGCTCAGTTTAAAGCCTCTGCATTGCCCTGCAGAGCAGGTCCTTTTTTATCCACTTGTGTGGGGTCATAGTAAACTTGGCGCCAAATCTGAGGATGTGACGGGCATTCTGGTGCCCAAGCAAGGTGGGGGACACATCCATCTGCTTCTACTGACAAAATAATCATCTGATCCTCGCAAAGGTAAACAGGCCCAGGTGCAAGGAGCAGCACCGATGCAGTATCATTACCCARTCAGTCTGAGGATGACTCAAATCTCAGGTGTTGTACATGAAAGCTGCCAATAAACGTTGAGCAGGCAGGTATTACCTTCAAGTTTAAATCTATGGGAAAATTAAATCATAAAGATTAAATGCAGCTTTCTGGTTAGAAAGGAGTGGGTGAATTTTGTAGCCCTTTTTTGGCCCTTTTTTGCTGTCTGTGTAATAACATGAGCTTGAGAGACTTTTAATTCATATTTAGGGAATTAGCATGAAAATTGAGGTGTAAGGACTGTGACAGGAATCCCAGAAAATACATGTTCCTTGTCAATGTGAATTAATTAAGCACTGATGTACTTGACACTAAAATTAATCATGTCCACTTATACTTAATAGGAAAAATCACTGTTGAAGAGGCCCCACAGATCTATAACACTATGAGAGGTTTCAGGGTGTGAACAGTCATGTTTCTGTCCTGCTCCCCTTGTGTTTGTGGCAGAGGAACACCCCAGTTTTACCACTCGTGAGGTTTTCATATGCATTTCCACTATTTATGGTAAATTCACTGCATCCAGTTCTGGGCTCCTCAGGACAAGAGAGACAGAGCTCTTGGAGCAGGTCCAACAGAGGCTGCAGAGGTGATGAATGGACAGAAGCATCTCTGATGAGGAAAGGCTGAGGGAGCTGGGGTTGTTCAGCCTCAAGAGGGGAGGGGACCTCATTAATGTGTATAAATATCCAAAGGGTGAGTGCCAGAGGATGGATCCAGGCTCTGCTCCATGTGGCCCAGTAAGGGACACATGGAACAGGCAGAAACTGATGCTCAGAAGTTCCACTTGGACATGAGACAGAACTTCTTCACTGTGTAGTGACTGAGCAGTGAACAGAGTGTCCAGAGGGAGAGTGGAGCCCCCTCACTGGGGATACTCCAGAGCCATCTGGACACAACCCTGTGCCCTGTGCTCTGGGATGACCCTGCTGGAGCAGGGAAGTTGATGACCACCACCAGATGACCCTATGTGGTCCCTTCCAACCTGACCCACTCTGTGATTCTGTAATTTCCTACAGCTTGGCGGGGAGCCTGGGCACTGCAGCAGGAAGGGCATCCACAGTGGGGCTGAGGGAGCAGGAAGAGGCATGAGGGGAGCAGCAGGGACCCTACACACCCCGATTTTGAGTGGTGAGGGCAGTGAGCAGGTCTCCCCCATACTCCGATTTCGTGGGGGCGGTGAGGGACATGAAGGGTGAGCAGGGACCCCACACATTCCCCGATTTTGGGCGGTGAGGGCAGCGGGCAGGGACATCACACATAAATCCCGATTTCAGGTGTGAGAGCAGGGAGCAGGTACTCCCACTCACACACATCCTGATTTCGGATGGTGATGGGAGTGAGGAAGGACAGAACCACACACCCGATTTCAGGCGAGAGGGCAGCGAGCAGGGACCCCCAAACACACCCCGATCCCGGGCCGTGAAGGCAGCGAGCAGGGATCCCCTCACACTCCGATTTCAGGTGTGAGGGCAGCAGACAGGAACCCCCAAACACACCTCGCTTTCGGGAGGTGAGGGCAGCGAGAAAGGGCCACCCCACACAAACCCCGATTTCAGGCGTGAGGGCAGCGAGCAGGGACCGCCAACACACCCTGATCCCGGGCGGTGAGGGCAGCGGACAGGAATCCCCCAACACACCCCGGTCCCAAGAGGTGAGGGCACCAAGCAGGGACCCCCAAACACACCCCGGTCACGGGCGGTGAGGGCAGCAAGAAGGGACCCCCAAACACTCCGCACACCCCGGCGGTGAGGGGAGCGAGCACAGACCCACACCGCGCTGTCGGGGGGGCGCGAACCGGCCCGTCCCCTCAGGGCGGGGGGCGGCGGCGCATGCGCGGGGCGGGGGGCGGTGACGGCCGCGCCGGCGGAGGCGGCGGAGGGAGCGGCAGCGGCAGCGGGAGGGTCGCTCGGGGCTGGCGGGCAGCGGCTCCGGGTTCGGCTCCGCTCCGGCCCGGGCCGGTCAGGGACCGCCTCGCCATGGGGACGCCGGGCGCCGGGCGCAAGCGGCTGCCGAACCGGGAGCGCCTGACGGCGGAGGACGATGCGCTCAACCAGATCGCCCGCGAGGTGAGCGGCGGGAGGCGGCATCCCCCCTTCTCCCTTCTCCATCCTCCTCCCCTCGCCTTCCCCCCCGGGCTCCCCCGAGCGCCGCGCAGGCGCCCCCGGCCACCGGCAACACGGCGGCTCAAGGGCGAGGTGAAACCGCCGCCTGTGCCACCATCCCCGGGCATCGCTCCGGCGGTCGGTGAGGGAAGGGCGTGCGGTGCCGGGCCCCCCCGCTGCAGCCGCTCCGGAGGGGACATCCATCGCCAGCCGCTGCCGCTGAGAACCACTGCCATTGGTGTTAACCACTGAAAATAGGCCSCTCGGGTGGATGCATTTAAATCGTAGAATCACAGAATGGTTTGGGTTGGAAGGGATCCTGAAGATCATCTCGTTCYAAGYTCCCTGCCATGRAACACCTTCCACTAGACCAGGTTGCTCCAAGCCTCATCCAAGCTGGCYTGGAACATTTCCAGGGATGGGAGTATATAATGAAAATCAGAATACCGCAAGGTGATGCTGGGTGTGGGCATAAGTGAACCCTGTAACTTGGAAACTGATTTTTACATTGCTGCCCACCAGACACTRCATTGTGCTCAATGTGACTTTACCTTCTAAACCAGCTGATTGCTGGTGCTTCCTGCCTCCTTACTCTTCTTGTGTACACTTAAATGATTCAGTGGTAACTGGGATAATTGAATTTGGTTTTTATGTTTGCTAAATCTGACACAGGCTGTTCTGCATCCTTGCTCCRGCAGTCTTCCAAAGGGGGAGAGGGGGATAAACAGCCCTGGGGTTCTTCTCCAGYAGGGAGCCTACAAGAAAGATGGAGAGGGATGATTTACAGGAGCATTTAGTGACAGGACAAGGGGGAATGGATTCACAGTGAAAGAGAGTGGGTTTAGATTGGATGTTAGGGAGAAATTCTTCCCTGTGAGGTGGTGAGGCYCTGGCACAGGGTGCCCAGAGAAGCTGTGGCTGCCCCATCCGTGGAARTGTTCAAGTCCAGGCTGGATGGAGCTCTGAGGAGCCTGGTCTGGTGGGAAGTGTCTCTGCCTGTGACAGGGGGTTGACACAAGGTCCCTTCCAACCCAAACCATTCGGTGATTCAGTGTCTAAACTGCTCCAGTGCTGGCTGCTGCTGAAGATGACCATCCTCTTCCCTTAGTGTGGGTTATATGTGTCACCCCACCTGGTGTTGGTGTGACCCTAAGATGAGTTACAGGATAAACCACCCTTCCAGAAGAGTTTTAGGTCTCTCTTGGTTCCCTTTCCTGATTCAGAGCTGCAGCAGGACCAGATGAATGCTAATGTATGGCTTATTTTTGGTGGCACTGGCTCATGCACCTTATTACCACCAATGCACCAATAATTGTGCACCATTTTGAAGGGGTTTGTAGCATCTTTGGAATACATTCRGCAGGCTGAGTTTTGTGTGAGTGATTCAGACAGTGATTTTTGTGGCAGTGTGATGAGAAGGTTCCTAAGGGTGGAGTTTGAGGTAGGAGGGCAAGAATGTCTCATGTCCTGGACATGAGATGGCAAGTAAGAGTGACTGTGCTGTCTGTTAGAGCCATGATAATATCCTAAGAATTGTTCTGGGATGACGGTTTGAATTCCTCAGCTATGTCCTGGCTGTGCTGTCATTCGRTCAAGGAAGACATCAGTCTCTGACAAGGAACCCAGTTGCTCTTCTCTGCTTTTTCCCCACTTTCTCTTTTCACTATCTTAGATGTGCTTTTCACTGCATTGTGTAGTGGTTTTGAGGCCTCAAATATTGTGGTGGTTTGTGGCTTTTTTTTTTTTTTCCTTCCTTCTCCTGGGGTTTGTTTAAAGGACAACTCCATTTGCTCAAAAAGCTCAACACAAGCATGTCTTTTATCTTTTCCCTTGAGTGCTAAAACTGTGAACTGCCAAGTTCAAGGTTCAGCGTTTTCCCATATTATTTTATCTATTTGCATTACTCTGTCTCAGAGCACTTTAATTGTTTTGTTGTTTAACTGCCTGTTCTCCACACAAAGGATCCCAGATGAATCCTTCTGTATGATCTTGGAGACTCGTAAAATACGTCAACTAAGCCTTGTCTCCTCTTAACAAGAATGTTGAGAATATCCATGTTAAGAACGCAGGAGGGTTACTGATCTTTTGCCTCTTCCAGCATTCCTCACAGGTGTTTAGAGAAAGCTGGGACACAGACATGTTGCTATTGCACGTACATTCTYACTCCTCTCTTTCCTTTGGTCTTTGTTATCGAGAAACCAGAGGTGCTGGCAAGTTATTTGCAGATGCCAGAGTCTCATTTTCCCTATGTTCAGATGGGAGCCCAAAAGAGCATGCAAACCAGACTGATTCACAGAGGTAYCTTTTGTTTTGTGGCTGTCAGAATATTTTGATAAATCCACTGTTCTCRCTCTACTACGTGCTCCTGTAAGAAGACAGCAAGACTTGGAAGGACCCTTTGAAACTCCTGCCATTTGAAATTAATTTTTGGSAGATTTGCAAAAGTCTTGCTCTGTGTGTGCAGTCTTGCACAGACCAGGAGGGAACCTGGSGTGGTGAAGAGGGCAGTGAGAGCAATTGTGAGGGGAAGTAACTAAGCAAGAGGAAGGAAATGGTAAGAGTGAAGCATCTTGTAGTGACAAGGGTTTAGGAGCAGTGTTAGTCATGTTAATCAGTAGCAGTTTTAGTGTTTGAGGCAGTTTCTGCGGTAGTTTATCACCTTGTGTAGATCTGTTCAGAGCAGAGGTAGAAGGTGCTGCAAACCACTCCCATCAGGAAAGGGTAGTGCTGTACCACCAGCACTGGCTGCAGTTTGACAGATGCAGGAATTAAGTGGATGGCGAATATGTAAATATAATTAACATGAAACGCTGTGTTCTGGGTTTCTAACAGMCTCACAGACTGCCACTCAGGATTTGCTGCTCACACCTGGCTTGTGCTGCTGAGCTTGTTTTTTCCCAGGCCAGCTCTTGCAGGCAGCAGCGAAGCCGATCAATGATCAGCTTCTCTGCTTTCAGGCTCGCCTTGACGCCAGTAGATTGTTCTGTGTTTAGGTCAATGGAAACTTTTGGGCCCTTTCATTCCTCATGTGAGCACATGCCAGCAGTGTTTGCAAAATCTAGCAGTTTGATACTGCTCAAGGTCTGTGCCAGCAGAGCCAGCAGGARCCGCGGCCGCGTGCTGCGCGCTCATCTGCTGGGATGGAGCACGCGTGGCTCGGGAAGGCGCAGTCCTGCCCAGCTGAACCTTCCAGGAGCTGGCTTCCTGCTTGGATTAGATGGCTTTGATGTGATTACTCGAGACATTGTTTCTAGGGGAGTATTTCTTTTTTTTTTTTTGCTAACTTCCACTCTGCTAGCTACAGTAATAATTGTTACGTGAGCAGGAGTTTTGCAAATCTAGCAAGGAGCTGTATAAATGAAATGTTTCTCTTGTAGGCAGATAATATTAGTTACTGTTTTTTGTTCACTTGAATGAGGAAGGACATGGTCTATTTCTTGTTTCCATTAGGAAAGAAACTGACACCTTGTTTTGCCACTGTTTTGTAGACAGATGTGTGTTACACAGCTCAGAAAAAAATGATCCTGCCATGTGTCCTCTCTGTACTAGAAATCTTAATCCACCATTTTACAGAACAGAGTTCTTTAGGTAGTAATTAATTTGATACTAGTAATTCAAGCAACATAATCTATTTTTTTTTGTCGAAGAAAGTAATGTTGTGAGGGTTGTGCTCATTGTACACTTTATGTCACTTTCAAGAACTGTCRCCTACATCTTTGTACATACATAATTATTACTTTTAAAAAACTAGTGTGATCAATTTATAGACCATACATTTGATTATTCCACTGAAGTAAATAGTTTGGGCATTGATTTGTGTTCTTAGTGATTCAAAAATTGGGATGCTATACTCCTGTGAAGGAGCAGAAATTAGAAAAAGCTCAAAATGCAGGTGAAACCAGCAGCCAGCTTTACTGGTTATGGTATAAAGCACTAAAGAACTTGAAAAGCCTAAAGTGGAGTTTGGGGACTAGGGAAGAGATGCTATGATCATTAAATGTGGAATCTTTTTAATGGAGGGGTTAATCTGGGGGACAAAATTCTGTTTTATGCAGCAATTTGGKGGACTTCCATAAATAGAGATGAAAACAATTTGGTAAAAGTTGAAGCTAAACCAAGCAGAATGGATATTTGTAAATGGGGACACAAGCAAACCAGAGCGTTTAAAGCAGTGTGTTCCCTAAGGATATACTCCCCTAAGGATATATTCCTTAAGTCTGAGATCCATGGGCCTTGTTAGGGTAGTGGTGGAACTTTTTTGAGCAGTATTTGGCATTACAGATGTGTCAAGGCTTTTGTAAGCCAGGTAAATGTTCCAAGAGAAGCCCTTAGAAATGGCCTGGTTTATATAGCGCGAGTACTTGACTTATTTTTTTATTGCCTTTCTGCATTTATGAGTGTTACCATATGATCTGAAAAAAAACCTCCATGTCTGGCTTTTCTGTTCTAGAACAGAAAGTTACGAAAGCAAGGGATGCTCTTGGAGGGCTTGACTCAGCCCGGCTGACCTAAATATAGGAAGGAAGGAGGACTTTGTAGGCGATGCTTGCCAGTAGGGCGTGGGGAATTGTTCCAAATTTGAGATGATTTTATGTGGCAAATATGCTCTTCATCAAACACTCCTTTCCCCCTCATGTTTTACATCTATATATCCAACAAACAGCGTTGGCATCACTTAGAATCTTTCCCAGAGTAAATGTGTGAAGAAGGAGCAGTTTGAAGAAGTGAGATAAAAATCTTAAGACCCATCTCACGCTGGTTAAATGGGTGACTGTCTCCCAGTGCACAATCTGCCTCACGACTTGAAATAATTAGTTGCCTGTTTTTGTGTCCGTGCCTGGCCTRAGTCCCCTTCAGCTGTTCCCTTGCTGTCCGAGGAAGCAGCTGTTTCGGAACTGTGATTCCTGTTTCAGTCAGGCAAGGGACTACTGGTAGGATTAACAGCATGGGAAGCCCAGCCTCTG